AGTAGTGTCGACCACCGAGCGGTAGCCCTTTGGCGAGAGAGCTGATAAAGGACACGTGGCAGCTCTTTACGACGACAAGACAGGGCATCCTGGAGGATGACACGTGGTGGCTACGTGGAGAACATGCCGAACGGCCGGATCCTTGTCCCCGGCATAGCGGCTATAAATACCCACAGTAGCTACAGTGTAGGGGACTTTTGGACGATCGATAGGTTGTTACTAGAGAATCCCGACCGCAGTCAGTCGGCACTCAGAGCAACCAAGTAGATTGTACTTAGGGCCTTTACCGGGATCAATAAAGACTTTTACTTGCTTTAATTGGTCTCGGGTTTATTTTATATTGCTTACGTAGAATTAGCAGTATCAGTGCCCATTCCACAACGGAAGCATATTAGATGTAGGCATTCATAAGTCACCTTCCAAACTCTTCTGCCCGCATTGAATTTGGACAGCAAAGGTTTAGTGATGTCTATCTCTACACATACCCTTGCAAACATTGCTCTGGAGATTTCACTTGTTGCTGTATCCACCATTATAGGTCGGCCGACCTTACGTCCTACATTCATGAGGAACTTGTGATCGAAATACTCCGCCGGTATGCATGGAAGACGGATCCAGACTAGAATTGACTCAGTTGTGTCCGTCATGGGGTTAAAGTTCGGTTTCCATTCTTGGACTATCAAATAATGGTCAAGTATCATCCACGGTCCTCCAAATTTAGCGAAGTTGTAGTCCTCCTCCGCTCCAAACCTCACCAGGTAGTATCCATTTTCTATAGTAATCAGATCCATTCTCGATTAAGGGTGCCACATCGCCGTTAGCCTTCGCTGGAGATAGGTGTATCCTACACTACGCCCAAACACTTTGATAATCAGAGTTTGCTTCTACTTGCTTCTCATACGATGTTTATCCTCCTTTGACATGCGTATCCTTGGGCAGATAGGATCATCCCCCCTTCCTCGTCATCATCCTCATCATCAGATATTAGATCAAGGTCCTTCGCGGTTGGTAAGTGATCCATTTTCTCATTCGCAGCAACTACTTTGTACGAGGGTGGGGGGCCCGCAGTAAGCTTTTCTTTCTCTGTGGCTTGATGGGGTTGTGGTCCTTCCCCAGCGTCAACTACCATCTCTTCTTCCCTAACGTTAACCTTTCCCATCGTCTTGGACTTTTTCGTGCTTCTTTCCAGGAGGTCCTGATCCTCCGATGACCTCGCCGGCGATGGCTTGGTCGAGTTTCCCAAGAGCGTTCATCGCGTATTCTAAGATCTCATATTGCATTAACTCTTTAAATTAATTTTTTGAGTTCTTAATTAATTATTTTATTTTATACTTAAATAAGATAATTTAGTCTTCTATCTACGATTTCATTTCATGTCCCAGCAACTTTTTTTTTTTCCTCCTATGATCATTCCCCTTTTTATGTCTTTTTTTTTTTTTTTTTTTTGGAAAATTTATGTCTTAAAATGTATTCATTCAATTTCTTAAAAAGGTTACATGTATCATGTATCTGCAATTGATGTCATCATATTTTATTACTCCGTATTAAATTAGTTTAGTCATAAAATTATTGTATGTAGTCCATGTGATGTTTATGTTTATATATTTAAGTAATTTTTAAACCAAAAACATTTCAAGTATTACTATTTTCAAGTTTTGACTCTCCACATAATGCCTTTAATAAAACTATAAATATTTTATCTAGAAAAAAAAAAAAAGACAATTTAATACACAAAAATGAGCATACACTTAATTCGATCAGAATCAAGGGAGAGATTCTAATTAGCTAAATGATCCCAACAATCTCATTTGTAAAGGTTAATGTGAATAGTAATGCTAAGAGAATGCCGAAAGAAACGGCAATAGGTGACATTATGTAAGATTGGTAAAGTGAGTGGGTATGACTGTATGAGAAGGGAATAGCTTCCAGCTTAATGGTCCAATTCTATACAATATAAGGAGTAGTATGAATTTGATGGCGGCTATGATAATAGTTTCGCTTTAGGGCAAATTATATTATGAATGATAATAGTTTCGCTTTAGGGCAAATTTTATTATGAATCATGACCTGCATTGCAATATAGATCGTGGATAAATGTTTAATTTTAGTATATTAAAATTTCATTTTTATTGTACTTAAAAGTTTTTTTTTTAAAAATAATATACTAAATAATGAATATTGAATACATAAAAAAATAAACATTTAACACACTAAAAATGAACATTCAGTATATAAAAAGGAATATGGGTCAAATAAGTCATCGAACCGCACACAATAATGCAGTTAGGCCACTGAACTAAAAAAGCTACAATTAAGTCTATAAACTAACCCATTTCAAACAATTTGTTCAATTTACAAGTTTTCCCCTTTCTAATATGTCACCCAATTTAAAATATTTTTTTAAAATAAATTTTTTAAAAATTAATTAAAATAAACTAAAATTTTTTATAAAAAAAACTTCGTCTCTGACAGAGATGAAGAACGTATCTTCGTCTCCATGGCCGAAGAGTTCTCCGGCCATGGAGACGAAGGTATCTTCTTCGTCTCCGGCCAGAGATGAAGAAGGTTTCCTCATCTTCGGCCGGAGACGAAGAAGATACCTTCGTCTCCGGCAAGAGATGAGGTTTTTTTTTTTTTTTTTTTTTTTTTTTAATAATTTCAGTTTATTTTAATTAATTTTTTTAAAATATATTTAAATTGGGTGACATGTTAGAAATGGGGAAACCTGCAAATTGGACAAATTGCTTGAAATAGGTTAGTTTAGGGGCTCAATTGTAGCTTTTTGAGTTCAATGGCTTAATTGCATTATTGTGTGCTGTTCGATGACCTATTTGACCCTTATTTCTATTATTAGAAATTGACATTATGTTAATGATTTACCTTGTAAGATGGACCACTTTATAATACGGAGTAATTGTTTGTTTGGACCAAGGGCTACATGTAATGGATTCCCTACTAATGGGTGTTAGGTCCTCTTGAGGACATTTGGATTCAACAATAAATCAATAATCGTTATGCTATAGAACCGTGTCCACCTTATAAGATGGACATAGTTCTGTGTTCATAATTACTGAATTATATGTTCATAATTATAAAGTTATATATTCATAATTTTTGAACTTTATATTTCATATTCATAAGTATTGAACTCTATACTCACAATTACGAAACTCTATGTTCATAATTACTGAACTATATGTTCATAATTATAAAGCTATATATACATAATTTTGGAACTTCATATTCACAATTATTGAATCTCTATATCCTCTAATATAAAAAAGCCATAAGAAGCAATAAATGCATCTTTTGGCAAAAATTTCCGCCCACAACAAAACGGTGCTGTATACATATGAAAATCGAATGCAACATTTCCCGCCCACAATAAAAAGGTGACGTTTAAATATGGTACTCCAAAAGTGTTTTTCTTTTTCCGTCCAAGCATTGGTTCTGGCAATGGTAATAAATAACCGTCCAAACCTTGGAATTTTTTAGGCCTTTGTATATGTGAAAGGAGGACTATGAAACGTTTTGCTTAGTCTTAATATTTCCAAGACATGAATCCATCTTCATTGTTCAATACACAACATTACATCTTCAGCCTCTATATAAAGCTTTGTTGATATGAAGATGCACACCGAAATTCACCTGTGATGTACTTCTTATACACCTTGGAAAGCATCCACGAGGAGGAACAGATGAAGAACACAGTTTCTTGAAGATTAAGGTGAGAACACCTGCACAATCTGCTAAAGCTTTACATGTCCTCTTTAACTTTCTTATGAAAAAAATGGAATTCTAGAAAATCTGCACATATAGTTGTTACTACTTATATAATCCTTCTCTATCTCTTTATCATGTTTATCTTGAAAATTTGCATATGGTTACGATTAACATTTAGAGAAAGAATATATATACACGGATTTTGTATTATGAATATTTCTCCTTTTTTTTTTTTTTTTTACATCCTACTCTAAATTAACTTTTAAAATACACAACAAAATGAAAAATCTGTATAAAAACACAATGAAAGCTAACAATAAATCAGTTATTTAAAATATAAAAGTACTAACTTCAAAACAAACTTTGAAAATATAGAATGGAAAAAAATATGTAGAAACAACATTAAATAAAAAAATGAAAGATTAATAAAAAACCAAAAAAATTACGAAGAAAAAATAACACAAAAACATTAAAAAAAAAAAAAGAAATTTAAGATTATAAATATAAAAAATAACTCTGAAAATCATATAAAAACTAAAAAGAATACATGAAATAAGTACAAAGAACACACACATACAAAATGAACAGTAAAAAAGAGAAATTATCTAAAAGAGAAAAATGATGGAAAACAAGTTCAAAAACGTTTCATATTTCAACACTGATTTCACAAATTCTTGGTTTTTGCAAAGATTAGAAAAAAATCATTATTGAGGAAGAACTTCGTATGTCAAAAAAAAAGGAATAAACGCCAGTAAAAGTTCTATGAAATGTTGATGTAAATTATAGATTGAATAGAAGAACATAAGAAATGGAGAGATACACTTAGCTTACCGTATTTTTTTTTGGAGTTGTTTTGCTCTGTATAGGCATACCTCCTAAGCACACTCTGCAGAACCCAGATCTGGTGATAATAGGGGCAGATTAGTGCTTTGTGGTTCCCATATATTCACCTGCGTAATACTGTGAACGGTGAACATGCCACCGGTGTACCATGCATATACACTACAGGTATAGAAAGCCATGTGTGTATTTTCTACATTTGTTTTGAAGTGTAATTTCAGATTCATTTTGCTCTCGGCTAGGGTTTGATTTCAAAGACGTTTTTTGTTCGCGGAAGGTAGTGTAGATCGCATGCAGAATTGAATTTGGTACGGTGAAAAATTGGAACAACGAAAGGAGGAGAAGTGTTTACACGAACTGAACAAGAGAAATCTAACTTGACATTAGCGGTTTTCTAGGCAATCAAAATGGAGAAAAATGTCCTAAATTCTTGAACAATGGAGAGAGGATATGGAGCAGACCTGGAAGAATTGGTATGAAATGCAATCGTTATACCCTACACCACAGTGCGCATAGCACTGTGCACCGCGCGCCTCCCAAAACGACGTCGTTTTGGGAGGCGCGGTAGGAAGTTGCTGTGATTATGTGTATTTGTTCACACAATTATGTGTATTTGTTCACACAATTATGTACATTTTTTATACAATTATGTACATTCTTTTTATACAATTATGTACATCCGAATCAGAAAATTTGTGTGTATTATGTTAAGAGTTGATGTGTATTGTGTTAAAAGTTTATGTTTATTATGTATTACTAGTTTTTTAACGCACTTTGTGCGAATGAGATAATGCCCAATAATTATTTTTAAATAAGTATTCCAAAGTATATCAATGCAATATCATATAGGAGATGTTCATGCATATGTAAATAAATGTTGAATTTGTTTATTTAAATCGATAATTTAAAGTATATAAATGCAAGATAATATATGCGAGATTGATTATTTTTTTTTTTTGAAGCAATATGCGAGATTGATTATAATTGTCACAAAAATAAATGTTTGCAACTTTGTAATAACGCTAGTCTAAATACTTAGTTTTAAAGCGATAGTCTAAATAAATATTACTTTTTGTTTAAATTTCTCTAATTCTTCTTTATTCTTTTTTTGGGTAGCATTGTTATTGTTTTCATCTTCAGTACATGTCCTTTTTTTTTTTTTTTTTTTTTTTTTTTTTATTGGTAGTGTTTCATGTGCAATTAGGTTACTGGTAGCAGCATAGAGGGATTCATCATGCAATGAGATTATGATGTAGGAAGTTTTAGATTTACCTTGCTGTGTATATGACTAAGATTTTAGTTGTAATATGAACTATTTAGCGTACAAACACCTATTGATATTTAGTAGTGGTAATTTTTTTCCTACATGTTTCATGTGTTGTGAGATGTGTGTCGCAGATCATCATGTGAAAGTATTGAACGAAATATTAATATTTATTATATTTGTATAAAATACTTGGTAAATAAATAAATAAATAAATAAATAAATAAAATAAAATAATATATATATATATATATATATATATATATATATATATATATATATATATATATATATATAAAACATGTTTTGTATTATAACTTTGATATTTAATTACACGATAATGTAAAAAAGAAGACAATGAACAATGTAGTGAATATAATAAATTAATAAATTTGAAGGTAAGGAATCTTTGAATTGTAGAAAATAAAGATAATATAACTAATGAAATTATATTTCTTTTAAATTTTTTTATAATGAATATTTTTTTTTAAAATAAAGCATTATAAACATCTAATTCTAAATTAATTAAATGAGGCATATGTATTATTTTTTGTTGTAGCTACTAATTTATTTAATTAATAAGAGTAATAAAGTGTCGTACATACTTTTCTTCAACAATAATGAAATTAATGATTTTTTTTTTAAATTTCCATTCCTTGTTGAGACAAATTGTTTTGTGAGTTTGTCCATAACAATTGCTACAATTGCTGTTAATAGAGGATGATAATAAATAATTCAAAATATATGGTTACAATAGATATTAATATAATAATATAGTAAAAATTAACTTACAAATTTTTTTTAGAAGTGTTCATGCATTGATAAAATTTTGATGTGTAAACTTGTTCAATTGGAGCTAGTAGGATGTTAACATTGTCAATTATTTGAAAAATGATCCTACCGTTTTAGAGTCTATGTGTAATTGTATTTATGATCAACAACTTTGTAGTTAGGCCGCGCAGGTTCGACAATGATGTAAGAACATTGTCCAATAAAAAAATAATAGTATAATATTAGTAATGTAATGTACAATTGTACCATTATAAAAAAAATACAAAAAAAATATTAATACCATAATGGCCTAAATCATTCCAATAATGCAAAAGCATAATTGAAATATTAAGTTTTGTACATTCAAAAAAAAAAGAAATATTAAATTTTGTTCTAAATAATCAGAAGAAGATTAATTTAAAAAAAAAAAAAAAACATAACATAAATTTGTTTTTTTTTTAAATAAACAAATTCAAGAAAATCAAATAATGTTAAAGTAGTTCCTGATTTATAATATTTGATGCTCAACTTTGAATGCTATGTATTTAGTCGAGCTAATTATTTAACAAAAGTTTATGTTAAATTTTATATTATATATTTTTTTAATACATTTTAACATATTCATAATATATGTTTAACGTTGGGTATCCCCCTCTCTCCTGAACAAAAAAAATAATATATGTTTAACAATTATGTCAATTATAATTGGGATGAGGTTTGAACCTAAGACCTTATATTTTTTTTTTGAAAACCTAAGACCTTATATAAATTAAGAGTATGTTAAGAATAATAAATAGTTAACGGAATATTCCGTTACTAAAGTTTAAACTAACGGAATTTAGGGTTATTTAAGGGAAGAAAATAATATAATAGAGGGTAAATAAGGAAAATCATTAAAAGATACTAAAATTAAAATAATATGAACCATTCATTTTAAGAAACAATTAGTACCGACATTTTTTTTGTTCCAGTTAAGGGCCTAACAATATTCGCTTTTATTAGATTTGTATTTGTAGATGTTAGATTATGTGTATTATCTTTTAAAAAGAGTATGTATATTTTGTTATATAATTATGTACATTCATGTATACAATTATGTGTATTCTAGTATAACATTACATTTTTGAACAGCGGGTTTTTTTAAAGAAAAAATTACTGCCATTCACTAGGGCGGAAAATTTCAAAAAAAAAAAAAAAAAAAAAAAAAAACTAAAACGACATCGTTTTGCGTTTGGGCTCACAGTGCAACGCGCGTCGTGGTGTAGGATATAAATTGCCTATGAAATGAGGAAGATGAAACGGCTTGCAACATTAATACTTATGTTTAGGGTTAACGTTTGGGTTGGGCTTTATATTGAAATGGGCTGTACAATGTTGTTGGGTCAATTTTGATTTGTAAGTAGAATCAGGGTTTGGACTGAGTTTTATATTTAAATTGGCAGAAAGTATGATGTAATGACATTATTTGTATTGAAAAAAAATATTATTATACATCTTTTTCAGTAAGTAAAAAAAAAATATAAGCAAGTTACATTGCATACATTTTTAAGTAGAATTAGCGACAAAATTGTTCTTCTAAAGTTTGAATGCATTTTGATAGAAATAAGATTAGTAAGTAAGAATGCATTAATTGTGTGGGTAGATGTATTTATACTTTATTATTATACTTCTATCTTTATTTGTATCTCTATATATAAAAGCATAATGAAGTATTGAAAAAAGGTTATTGTGTATGAAACATGTGGATCTCAGATATCATATGTATAGTTTATTATTATCATATATCCATTTTTTTTTTTGTTTGTTTATTACAATAACCCTGTAAATTAAAATTTTATTTATAGACCGTGCATCGCACGGGTACAATACTAGTTCATAATTACAGAACTATATTTTCATAATTATGTTCACAACTTTATGTTCATAATTTTTGAACTATATATTTATAATTACTAACAGTTTTGGAACCGTGTCCACCTTACAAGGTGGACACGGTTCCACGGCATAATGTGCCTGGATTCAAAATGACTTGGTCATAATTATTCTTTCTTTTTTAATTTCTTTTTCGAGTCGTTAAAAAAAGGTAAATTATATCATGCACCAGGGCATTGTGTGCCCTAGCCAAAACGACATCGTTTTGTATCTGTTTTTGTTTTTTTTTTTTTTTTTTTTTAGAAATTACTTTTTTCGTTTCTGCCATTAATTTCTAAAAAAAAAAAAACAAAATTCCCTGTTTCGAATGTATATAATTGTATAGTAGAATACACATAAATTCATAACATAATAAACATAATATAACATAATACACATAAATTCTTAACAGAATACATATAAACTCTTAACATAATACACATAAATTCTTAACATAATACACATAAAATCTTAACATAAAAAACGACGTCATTTTAAGCAGGGTGGACGATATAACGATTGTAAAAAAAATAAGTACGTAGTTTTAAGTCTTTGCTTAATAAATGTAAATGGCATTAATGTCTTGTGTGCCAAATTGTCAATGTATTCAAGCAAGTAAAAAGACAACAAAGTAAGTTTTGGTTCCTAAACTTTTGAGGTCTTATCACTTTTGGTGCACAATTTTATTTTATTTTATTTTTTTAATTTTGGTGCCTAATTTTGTTATTTTTATTAATTTTTTGTCCTTCTTCTCAAATTGATGGTGAAATGTTGTAGGATTTTATATTTTTATGGGCAAAATTATCAGCCCATAGAAAGATCTTCAATATCTAAACAAAATAAAAATCATATTAAGAGAAAAAAAGGGTTTGCCAATCGTCGACGCTATAAATCCTATAGATACTTTCTGCCCGTCTTCCCCATTATTCTCATCAATCAAACACCTATAGATATGATTTTACAGTGATTTTGTTTAGATATTGAAGATGTTTCATTGGGATGGCGATTTTACTCCTAAAAATATAAAATTTAGCAAACCATCATCAATTTGGCCGAAATGACCAAAACTTATAAAAACAACAAAGTTAGGGCATCTCCAACTCATTTAACATCAAAACACCAAAAATCTCCACCAAATGTCACATCGAAGAGAATATTCTCTACACTAAATTTTATTCATCTCCAACCCATTACACCAAAACACCAAATTTTTACATCAAATATTAGTCTACACTAAAATAATATGGTTTCTCTAATTTTATTATTTCAAATTTAATTAGTTTAATATAAAATATAATTTGTGATGTAAAAAAAATAAATTTGGTAACATTATTTTTATGTTGTTGTTATTTTTGATTTATTTTAATTTTTAATTAATCTATATTCAATATTAGTCTAATTTTAATCGTCTTGACAAGATATTTCAAATGATATAATTTATTTATAATAATATAATATTTATGTTTAAGTATTTAACAAAATATATAAATACATACAATCTGTTGGATGGGATTGCCGGAAGTCAAGCACGCTTAGCTTAACCATAGAGTTCTATGGTACATGGTTGTCATATCCTACTTAAAACCAATTGGTGATAGGTAGGTGGACATTAACCATTTAACCACATCTCTCCATGGTAAGCCACATTGCAACGTCCCGAATCGAGCAGGGGTTGAACTCAGCTAACCCGATCGACGCCAAACACAAACAATAAAGGATACAAAAGATTAACAAATAAAAACATGGGCAAAACAGGAATTAAATTTTTATCCAAGAAATGTCGTGGATGAACAGTGCTGCGCCAAATATGGCGCAACACTGTTCATCAACGCCAAAATATTTGGCGTTATGCTGCGTAGGGGTGTGCAAAACCCGAAAAATCCGACCCACCCGACCGACCCGAAACCCGACGGGCGAGTCCGTGGAGCGAACCGTATCCGAATACCCAACCCGATCCAACGCTACGCTATTAGACGGATGTAAGGGGTTCGGGTGGGAGGCAGTAAACGCTACCCGAACCCGTCGGATTACCCGATAAAACCCTAGGGTTTTTTTCCGCTATATAATACAATGTCGTTTGGTGTATGTATATATATTACTCATTTCATTGAGCGCAGCCGAGCTCTCAGTTCACTCTTGACTCTTCTAGACTTCTCTCAATCTCTCATCTCTCATCTCTCATCTCTCGTTCTCTCTTTCGCTCTGGTCTTTGAGACTTTGAGTCTTAGACTCTTAGCGTCTTACTCTCTAAGACTCTGAGAGTCTTAGTCTCTGTTTGTTAGTCTGGTGGAAGCCCTATTCGGAGACTCGGAGTAGTGACTGGCGGAGTGGTGGAACGGTGGAAGCCCTAGACCCTAGTCCGGTCACCGGAGTCTGGTGGAACTGTTGAACGGTGGAATAGTGGATTCGAAGCCCTTTGTTCTCGAGGGATTAAATCTGAGAAACGAAGTAATTACTAAACCCTATTTACATTTTCGTTATAGATTATTGTGTATTTGTCTTCTTGATTAGGGTTTCTAATTTTTATGATTATGTGGACTGTGATACTTGTAAATCCGTTGAGAAGTTCCGGATTGCATGCCACTAGTCCTTTAAGTTTGAATTTGTGAATTGTGTGATTAGGGTTTCTAATTTGTAACGTAAATATGTGGACTCACTGGACTATGATACTTGTAAATCCGTTGAGAAGTTCCAGATTGCATGTCAGTAGTTCTTTGAGTGTGAATTTGTGAATTGTTTGATTAGGGTTTCTAATTTGTAACCTAATCTGTGGACTCACTGGACTATGATACTTGTAAATCCGTTGAGAAGTTCCGGATTGCATGTCAGTTGTTCTTTGAGTGTGAATTTGTGAATTGTTTGATTAGGGTTTCTAATTTGTAACCTAATCTGTGGTGGAAGCCATACTACCCTAGCCCCTTGCCACTGTGTGTTAAATACTGAAATCCATATAAATGTTAAGCATGATGGTATTTGTGTGGAAGCCATATAAATGTGGGAGTGTGTCTTGTACTCATGTGTGACTGAAATCCATATAAATGTGGGAGTGTGTGACTGAAATCCATATAAATGATGAGCATATAAAGTAGCATACACCTACTTAGCTTGAATGCCTGATTATGGATTTCATTGTAAATTGTAATTTGTAAGTTGTAAGTTTATGGATATGTGACCCTTAAATCATTTATGTGCAATTCTGCATACATGATGAAATGTTCAATTCACTGAATTCTGCCTGTTTAACACTTTAATTGATACATGTGTGTATGTGACAAAGCCCATTCTCTGTTGATGATTTTCAATGAGTGATTTCCCATTCTGTGTCACTGATACTTTCCCCTTTTTAGATGGAAAGTGTTAGTGGTGTTACTGGTGTATCTGGAACCCAACCTGAGTTGGAAGCACCTGCTGTAGAGACTGTTACTCCTCAGTCTTAGCAGCCTTTACCTCCACCTGTTTCAAAGAAAAGGAAAGATGTTGAATCCAGGGCTCCATGTTGGGATCACTTTGAAAAGATCATCACTTTGAAAAGATCAAAGACAGTGATGGCATTGTCATCAAAGGAAAATGTATATATTGTGCAAAAGTGTATTGCTGTGAGACCAAGAAACATGGGACTTCTTCTCTCAGACTTCATGTGGTAAACTGCCTTAAAAATCCTCACTCTAAGGAGACAAGGCAGTCCCTACTCACATTCCAACCTGCACCTTCTTCTGCTGGAACTCAAAGTAGTGAAGGAACTGAAGGGGTGTTGGGTACTTTGGTGTTTGATCAAGACTTGATAAGGAGAGCCTTAGCTGAGATGATTATTTTAGATGAACTTCCTTTTAGGATTGTTGAGGGACAGGGTTTTAGAAAGTTTGTTTTAGTTTGCTGTCCTAGGTTTAAAATCCCTTCAAGATGGACTATCAGTAGGGACATTTTCAAGATATTTTCTGATGAGAGGGTCAACTTGAAGAAGTTTTTTAAGACTAGCAGTCAGAGGGTAAGTATCACAACTGATACTTGGACCTCAGTCCAGAGAATAAACTACATGTGCATAACTGCACATTTCATTGATAGTGAGTGGAAGCTGCAAAAGAAGATTATTTCATTTGTTCCTATATATTCCCACAAGGGGGAAAGTATTGCAAAGGCTTTAGAGAGTTGCCTTTTGGACTGGGGTCTAAAATCAGTGTTTAGTGTGACAGTAGATAATGCTTCCAGCAATGATACTGCCCTAGGATTCTTGAAGAAGAAGTTGGGCTCTTGGGGTTGTACTGCTGTTAGGTGTAAGTATTTGCACATGAGGTGCATTGCTCACATTCTTAACTTGGTGGTACAGGATGAGTTGAAAGAATGTGACAGTTCTGTTAAGAAAGTCAGGGATGCTGTTAGGTATGTGAGGAGCTCACCTGCTAGGTTGTAGAAGTTTAAATCACTAGCTTATCTAATTGGGGTGGAAGCTAAGAATTCTCTGTGTCTAGATGTCCCTACAAGGTGGAATTCCACATATATGATGCTTAATACTGCATTACTATTTCAGAAGGTATTTGAAGCCTATGATGATCATGACAGTTCATTTAAATCTGATTTGGGTGGAAGTGTACCTGATTTCTTAGATTGGGAATCCATTCAATCTTTGGTTATGATTCTGAAATCTTTTTATGAAATGACTGTTAGGATTTCTGGATCATTGTATGTGACTTCTAATACCTTCTTCTCTGAGATTTCTGATTTGTCTTGCTTGTTGAAAAATATGGAGGAAGCTACAGAAGATAGTGTTAAACTGATGGGTAAAAATATGAGGGCAAAATTTGATAAGTATTGGGGTGAGCCTGAAAAAATGAATTTTTTGATATTCTATGCAAATATCTTAGACCCCAGGGACAAAATTGAGTATATGCCCATTCAGTTTAACTAGTTATATGGTGAGGACAAGGGTAAAACAATGTTTGATAAGGTGATTGTTGGCCTTAAGGAGTTGTTTGAAGATTATGTTGCATGCTTCCCTGTCCAGTCTGTTGAACAATCTGAAAAATGTTCTCCCTCAATAACAATATCTGATTCAGTTTCTGTTGGGAGACCTCAATCATTACTGAAATCTCAGATTAAGAAGCAAAATTTGGTGAGTGGGGATTTGTCTAGGAAAAAAACTGAGTTGGAAGTGTATCTCTCTGAGGTTATTGTGGATGAGGATGATTCATTTGACCTTCTAAGATGGTGGAAGCAACAATCTGAAAGGTTCCCTGTCTTATCTAAAATGGCAAGGGATATTCTAGCTGTTCCAATATCAACTGTTGCTTCAGAATCAGCATTCAGTACAAGTGGAAGGGTGCTTGATGCCTTTAGGAGTTCCCTAACTCCTAGAATTGTTGAGGCATTGGTGTGTGCACAGGATTGGCTAAGGTTAAGCAACCAACCAATCTCAATTGAAGAAAATATTGAAGATGTTGAAATGATTGAGAAAGGTATATACTTCTAACTTCCAGCAATGATCTGTTTAATTGTTTACGTTTTAATTTCCATTTTGTTTTTGTACTGCAGAGTTGTGCTGCACATCCAGCACTGGAACTGGAATGCCTACAATTGTTGTATGTTTACAGTTTCCATTAATTTATTTTGAAATCTGAATTTGTGATTACTTATTTACTTATTTGATTTCATGATAAATTTATGCCTCTGTATCAGTGTATCATGTATGTGTATCAATGATTCAAATCAATGTCCCTCGTGAGGCTGGGAAGTTGGAACTGGAAACTGGAAAGTGCTCATGGCTAGGTAACATTTTAAATGTTGCTGCCATTGAGCTCAGGTATCAGTATAAGTACTGACTAAATGTCTAAATGTGACTTCTGACTTCTGACTCACTATACTTATAAGTTATACCTGTATAAATGTTCATTATTGTGCTATGATGATGCTTCCACCATGTTCTCTGAATATATAGAATTGGGTTTGGTATGTTGCCTATGAAGTGTGGTGTATGCCATACTTATTGAGTAGTGTTCCCCCAATCCTAAATTGATATGGAAAAAAAAAGTATCTGAGCACTCTTTGAGTCTTTGCTATTTAAATATAATTCATTAGTTGTTCCAGTATAAGTATTATTCTGCTATGATGATGCTTCCACCATGTTCTCTGAATATATAGAATTGGGTTTGGTATGTTGCCTTTGAAGTGTGGTGTTTATGCCATACTCATTGAGTAGTGTGCCCCCAATCCTAACTTGATATGGAAAAAAAGCTATCTGAGCACTCTTTTAGTCTTTTACAGTTTCAGTTTGTGTGATTGTGTCAATTCTAACTAACTACAAATGTTTTGAACTTATTGTGTTTTTATGTGTTCACTTATCAGGAAGAAGAATAGACATAGAGTACTCTATATTATATTAATCATATATTCATATATTGCTTTTGGAGTTTTGGATATCTGGCTTTCTTTTGAAGAAGAATAGACATAGAAGAATGCTGATGTGCTGATTGGAGACTGATGCAGTGATGCTGTTGCTATGAACAATTAAAATTCTCATTACAAGTTTTAATTTTGTAACTTGTAAGCTAATCTGCTGATTATATGTAAGCTAATTTGTATTTTGTGATTATATGTTTACACTTTTATAAGTTTACTTATGTTATTTACTTATTTTTGCTGTTAAGTAGTTAGTAATTACTAGTTAGTGGCTTTTAGTACTTAAGTAGTTCATTAGTTAGGTACTTAGGTGTTCCATCATCCATGAATAGAATATTTGATTTTAAGTTTTTTACATTATGATAAAACCGAATTACAACACGGATATCCGACCGATCCGATCCAATCCGAAAATAAAAATAATCGATCGGATTAGTCAACAAAAAAAAAAAAAAAAACGGTTAGGGTGGTCAAAATTGAAATCCGATATCCGACCGGGGGTCTCAGTCTGCAATCCGATCCGTCCGATCCGTCCGACTGCACAGCCCTAATGCTGCGGGTTGGAGTTCTAAAAATTAAGGGTATTTGGCGGAATGGTGTGCCGTTGGAGTTGCTCTTAGGCACCAAAAATGAAAAAATTTAAAGTTGTGCATCAAAAGTGATAGAACCTCAAAAGTCATGAGACCAAAAGTAAAATTAATTCTTTACAAAAAAAAAAGTGAAGGAAAAGCTGAATTTATTAAACCAAATATGAGTTTAAAACATTATGAATGAAAGGAGGAGGGTGACGAAAACACTTCATGCATTTTGACATAGAAACATACTCCTGAATTAACACATGAGTAGTTTAACTTCGAGACGCCTAATAAAAGAAAAAGAGACGTGCATAAAACAATTCACCATGTCTCTAATATCCTGCAATATTATATCAAAAGAAAGTTCCAATTGTCAACTTTCAGCCCATGTATGACTTGAAGATAATATGACTCCACTTGTACAAAATCAAAGCTAGTGTTTTAATCCAATTGAGGGTCTCTCAAACAACAAGAGCTTCAACTTCTTTGGGGTTGTATGTACCTATCCAAGAGACACACTTAGCATCTACAAATGGACCATCGCTATCACGAAGCACAACACTGGAACCCATATTATTGCACATTTCTTTGTTTATTGCAGCATTGAAATTTAATTCCAGCCACCCAATATGAGGTTTAGACCATTGCACCAAAGATATGATTTGATTTGAGGATCTAAGATTTTCATCGATAACATCCTTCCAGTTCCGGAGGTATGCCTTTGCACCTTCAACAATGCTAATATCCATCATAGTTCGCTTATTCCATATATTATCATTTCTAGCACACCAGAGTTTCCAAAAGAGCATGATCATTAGACAACTCTAATAATTATCAAGCTTTCCCATGTTTTGAGCAGCTCAATCTCCAAAAGAGGGATAATTGTCGACTGCAAACTGGCTCCCTACAATTTTCCAACAACTCTTGGCCACAGTACATTACATTCCACAAGGACATGAATGATATATTCATCAACACTCAAACATGTATGGCAAAGTTTTGGGCAATCTACTTTTTTCCTGCTTAATAGGTCAATAGTATGTAGACATGAAGTGCAAGCTTGCAGAAAAAAAAATATATTGACTTTCTGAGGAAGTTTTAGCTTCCGCATACATGTTCACTTCTCAAATTCCTTTTCATTTGATTCCCCAACCAAAGTTCTATAGCAAATTTTAACAGTAACAACACATTTCTCTTCAAGAATAACTACTACAAAATGAGCAATTTACACCTTTACTAGCCAGACGCGTAACACACACACACACACACACACACACACACACACACACACACACACACACACACACACACACACACACACACACACACACACACACACACACATATATATATATATATATATATATATATATATATATATATATATATATATATATATATATATATATATATATATATAGGGAAGGGTTCAGGTGCGGTAAAAGCTTCTCGTACGGTTGTGCGGTTGGACGCATCTTCAATATTAACATGGCGCATCTTAGGTATACAAATCACCACGCACGTTAAGCACACAAACAAAGCACCTTAAGAACACAAATCACTCACATTAAGTACATAAACCATGCACCTTAAGCACAGAACAAAGCACACTAAACACAAAACTCACACACTTAAGATTTTAAAATGGCTCATATTAAGCACAAACTCACGCACATTAAGCATAAAATTCACGCACATTAAGCACAAACCTCACGCACATTAAGCATTAAACTGTCGCACTTTAAGTATTAACTCACACACTTTAAGTTTCAACAACTACTGGCATTAATCACTAACCCAACGCACATTAAGCACACACCCCACGCACATTAAACACAAATCCCACGCACCTTAAGCACAAATCCCACGCACATTAAGTCCAAACCCAAACACATCAAATTTACCGAGATGCAAAAATGACCAAAATGCCACCGCATTTTTTAATTTAATTTTGGTAATCTTGGACGTTGATTTAAACGAGATGAATGACTCAGATTAAACCGCACAACCGCACCTGAGGTGCCCACTCGCACCAGAACCCAGTTCTATATATATATATATATATATATATATATATATATATATATATATATATATATATATATGAGACAATAAGTGTCTTTACTAATCAAATAAAGACGACTATTGTTTATAATTTTTAATATTAATTTACGAAGACAATAGGGTCTTTAGAACTTTAGTTGATTTCTCAAATTCCTTTTCATTTGATTCCCCAACTAAAGTTCTATATATAGCAAATTTTAACAGTGACAACACATTTCTCTTTAAGAATAACTACTACAAAATGAGTAATTTGCACCTTTACTGGCCCGCGTAACACACACACACACACACACACACACATATATATATATATATATATATATATATATATATATATATATATATATATATATATTTGAGGCAATATGTGTCTGTACTAATCAAATAAAGACGCCTGCTGTACATAATTTTTAAAATTAATTTATGAAGACAACATGCGTCTTTATCATTAAGGTAAAGACGCCTATTGCCAAATAAAAATATGACTATAGGCGTCTTTACCATTTAGGTAAACATGCCTATTGTATTTTTAGAAAAAAATTATCACTAAAGGCATCTTGGCTAGTATAACAAGGATGCTTAAGTTATTTAAAAAAATTATCCAATTCAATTAATACCTTGTACAATAATTAAATTACATTGTTCAACCGAAAATTCAATTTGCCAACACAACATTTATATAATTCAAATCATTTAACACAATATATATAATAGAATTGTCCAACACAATAAATATAATCCAACATACATTTTCTAACACAATATAATAATCCAACACTAATCTATCATAATAGATATATATAATCTACTTCAAATTTAAAACACATAATAAAAGTTTATATGCACTCATTCACAAAATATTATATCCATAACC